TCTCACTCTGTCACCCAGGGAGTCCAGTGACGTGATTTCGGCTTACTGCAACCTCCACCTCCGGGGTTCAAGTGATTCTTCTGCCTCAGCCTCCTGAGTAGCTGGGATTACAGGCATAAACCACCACACCCAGCTAATTTTTGTATTTTTAGTAGAGAAGTGGTTTCCCCCCTCTTGGCCAGGCTGGTCTCGAACTCCTGACCTTGTGATCCACTCGGCCTCCCAAAGTGCTGGGATTCCAGACATGAGCCACCATGCCCAGCCACAGTCCCAATTTTTTTAATGAAACCTTATAGATAATTCTATCCAATCTTAACCAGTTTGACCATGAGGTGAGATTCTTATAAACCTTTTATAACTCTTTACAAATGTTTGTTAAAGAGCAGATCAATACCTTAAGAAAACCTTGTTGCACTTTTATTCCAATGCTCAATTTGCAGAAAAACCATATAATACCTTTTTGAATTTAGTCAATATGTTCACACACAGGATTCCTTTTGTAAGATTAATATTTTTTGGAAGAAAATAACTTTATTCTAATTAACTCACAAAGAATAAAATCATAACAGCTAGTTTAAGGAGGCCACACAGACATTTGACCAGCTCCAAATTCTACAGAGTAGGAACATCCGCTTCCATTTCAATTCTGAAGCAAGGAAGCTAGGAATGACAGGAGAGGTTTAACTGATGGCTACACTTTACACCTTCACTATTAATTAAATTTTTATTTTAAGTTACCTTGGTTATAAGAGCTGGTTTTCCATTTCTCCAGGTTGAACTTCTTGATTAGATCAATCTGTTTGCAAGTCGGCACTGTTTCAGCACCTCACTGAAACCCTCACAGAGCTTGATGTCACTCTGGTTCTGGGCACACTCCAAAAACTGTTTGATCTCATAGAAGCAACGCTGCTGCTGCTGTGCCGGCTGAGTTCCCTGAGGCTCCTGGTAAGTGATATCAGGCCTCATAGGCTCAGGATCACTTCTTCCACTGAAGCCCCCAGTAATGGCGTGGCCCAGTGTGTGCCCCACAGCAGAGCCCACAGCCACACCAGCTGCAGTGGTTGCCATATGGGACAGCAGACCTGGCTGCTGGGGTGCAGCAGCAGGAGAGCCAACTGCAGAGGCGGGGGGCCGCTGCTGGTGGCTGAGCGGCTGGTGCTGGCCTAGGCGCAGCTCTCATCTGAAGGGCCCGGCAGGCTGGAGGGGCCATGCGGGAGGTGTAGCTTCGGCTTCCACGCGGCATCCTAGCGACGGGGCTGCTCGGCCTTTAGACGTGCAATTACCAGGGAAGAGCTCAGCGGCTTCTGGGAAAACCGGAAGACTTGTAAGATTAATTTTTACAAACTTTCCACCACTTGTTTAAGTACTTAGCTTTATCTTTCTGATTTTAAAATCTTATCTAATTTAAAACAATCCTCAAAACTAGGCAAAAATTTACATTCCCATGCCTTCTTATAATCTTTTACCAAAAACACATTTTACCTTCCTTACACACCTTGCATGTTAATTTATTTTCAGTAGTCTCAATTACATGTTGTAATGGCAACTCAACAATTGATATAGAATTTGACAAAATTCAACATCCTTCCATGATAAAAAAAAAGAAAAAAGACACACACACACCCACACACACACACACAAAACTCTCAGCAAACAAGTAACACAGAGAAATTTCTTTGACCTGATAAAGGGCTTCTATAGAAAATCTAGCGCTAACATTGTACTAAATGTGAAAGGCTGAATACTTTTCCCCTCAGATGAGAAACAAGGCAAGTATGGCCACTCTCATCACTCCTATTCAGCATTCTACTAGAAAGTTCTAGCCAATGCAGTAAGGCAAGGAAAATAAATAAAAGACATACAGTTTGTAAAGAAACAAATAAAACTGTTTCTATTTGTAGATGACATGGTTGTGTACACAGAAAATCCCCAGGAATCACACACAAACACACACAAAAAATACTCATAGAAGTAAAACAGGTATGTATAAAGGTCACAGGATAAACAATTAAAAGAAAAAGGTCATATTTCTATATATTAACAATTGTCAATTGAAAACTTTCATTTAAAACAATATCATGGCTGGGCATGGTGGCCCATGCCTGTAATCCCAGCACTTTGGGAGGCTCAGGTAGGTGGATCGCTTGAGGTCAGGAGTTCAAGACCAGCCTGGCCAATGTGGCGAAATTCTCTGTCTACTATAAATACAAAAATGAGCTGAGCATGGTGGTGGGCACCTGTAATCCCAGCTACTCGGAGGCTGAGGCAGGAGAATTGCTTGAACCCAGGAGGCAGATGTTGCAGTGAGCCAAGATTGCACCCCTGCACTCCAGCCTGGGTGACAGAGTGAGATTCCATCTCAAAAAACAAACAAAAAATCATTTATAATGCCTTCCCCAAAATTAAATGTGAAGGGACTTGAAAAAGTGAAATTAAAAGATAAAAATAAAAAATAAACTTTATTTCTCGACACAAGCTCCATAAACTTCAAGACACTTTTGTAAGTGATATTATCAGCCATTGAGTCCATTTCTAAAGAACTGAGGGTCCTGGGAATTTAACCATGTCAATGCAATATATATATATATATATATATATATATATATATATAT